GCGAGGGATTTACATTTATTAAGTGCAAAGAATTCGCATAAGTTTGCTATTACTTGGTTTATGCATTGAAATGTTTTATGCACGTGAAAATCCGTGAACTCACCAACTCTTTGTAGTTGACTTTGTTTTATTCCATGCTTTTCAGGTTCTAAGTAAAGTTGTTTGGATTTTGGGAGCATACTTGAGCACGGAACGATTAAGTCAAGATTTTGAAGTGTTTTGAGAACGTTGTGTAAAATTCTAATTTTAGTTATGTCGATGAACTACTTTGTTTTTGAACAACTTGGTATGGTGTTATTTATAAACTGTTGCTATGACTCGCTTGCCTGTTACATCTCGTGTTTCCGCTTTAGCGGGGTGTGACATTTACTTTTATTGTTTTTCTGAATTAATCACGCACCTAACGGCAATAGTTTTTTAAGTGTTTTTGCATATTTTATGGTTTGTTATCCATACCATTATGGGTCACGGTACACCACGAGATGAGACTCAAACAAGGTAAACATCTCTTCCCTTGAGGCACAACTTTCAGATCTAACTTCTCTCGTGATATAGTTGGTTTGCAAAGAGGTGCAAGAAGTGTGAAGGTGTGGGACGTGTAATAACAACGCTTATCTAACCAACATATACCCCAATCCTAATATGACCTCGAGAAAACCTACACCTACGAAGGATTCTCAAGCTTAAGCCACAACATCTTTGGAACATACCCAAGTGAACACGATCAAGGATGGCAAGTGTATCCTCATTTAAACGAGTATGACTATGAGTGATAGAACAATTTATCCTAGATATGAATTAACACCACTATTAACATAAAGCTATTATGGGGACACAATTATGTCTCTAGAAGAGATTGTTAAATCACTAGCCCTTAGCACATTGGGATTCCAATGGGAGACAAGGGCTAGCCTTCAAAACTTGGAGAACTAGATTAGGATGAACGAGTCCTCAATACGTCAGGTGGAAGATTAAATTAAAGAAACGTTAGGATCGTTGAAGAGGCTAAAGATATCCAAGAAGAGGATGAAGAAGAAGAAAGCACAGACCCATCTACTTCACGAGATGGCAACA